GCCCCCGGCTAGCTATCGAGCTAGTGGGTAACAGACGTCTCCGAAAACGTCAGAGCGCTTTTGAAAATATTTGGTGTCTTGATAAACTGGGCAGATAATTGAGGTTTACACAGCTACATTCTCGCCTGAAAAAATGTTAAATGTTTATTTTGTGACCCAGAATGAATAATAAAAGTAATATTAAAACTAACTAGCTGCCGCCATTGTTGACAACTGAGCAGGGCACTATGGATTCTGGGACAGAGCTTCTTCTTCTTCGGGGTTTAACGGCAGCTGGCATCCTTGTACGTGCAGTGCTGCCATCTTCTGTTTCAGTCCGTTATTACACTCTTAAATCCTACTACTCATTCCTCCGTCTTTTGGGATCTTACAAAGCTTCAAACGACGCGTTGACTGTTAAATTAGTCGTCGACGATTTTAATAGTCGACGTAATCGTGACTAGTCGACTAATCGTGGCAGCCCTACTGTATATAAAGATGGAAATGGACACGGTTTAGTTTGTAGATTCAGCATTTTTGAAGCCTTCACATCAGAGTTTTGGCCACGACTATGGTATTTTATTGGAGCCAGAATTTAGAAAAGACGATGGAGGGGAGCTTTTGGATAATCCATTAAAATGCATCAAAAGGCACCAAGAGCAAAAACAAGGTCGAGTGATTTAGTTTGGTGGCGGTGAAGTCAGACAGCTGCTGACTACAGCTGTTGTCTGCAAACAAAGCGACCACATCCCTAAATTTTAAGCATTACCAAATCCAAACAAATGAGTTGAACATTCATCTCGCATTCATTCGATACGAAGACAGAAATCGTGTTCTGGACTATACACACTTTCTTTTTTAACTCTGTAAACCTGGGCATTTTTAACAGAGCACAATGACTCGTTTTGGAGCCCCAAGTGGCCGATATATGAAATGCAGTTTTTGCCTTAATGTTTTTTTTTTTAATTTCCATCTGCAACTTAAAGGTTGAAAATTTTTATTGTGTGGGAAAAACAATATTTGGTGGTTAGAAAATACTTTAAGGATTCGGAAAATACCCAAAAGATCAAAAGATCCTTCTTTTTCCGGAAAAATAAAAGCTCTGTATCACAACACCCGTGCACACATTTGGCACTGATAATCTTCCGCAATAAATTCATTTATCTGAGCTGTCTGAATTTTTTTTAGCACATAGACAAAAATGATCTTTACACTGTTTTGGACAAAGAGAAACTCATTTTAACCAAACTAAATTAACCACAGCTGGGACTTCAGTGCCTTGCAGTAGGCCACTCTCTGTGTGAGGGAGGGGGAAAGCCTTCTTTGTTTACCCAAACACCTCTTTTTCACAGTAGGTGTTGGTTAGGAGGGAACTCTGCATCGATACCACCGGAGAGCCTGCCTTTATTTAAACAAGTTCAGGAGCCAAACGTAAAGTGGTGAAAGCTGGAGTAACCTCTGCTCTTCCCATAGTCACAGGTTCCAACTTCAGGATCAATTTTATGTTGCAGAGCTTGCCTGTTTTCAGAGGAGTGCATGGAACTGATTGGCAGAATAAAGAGGAAATACCCTGCAAATGAAAACCGGCAGGCTGTCTAATCTCACACTGCTCTGCACTACAGTCTCCAACACCGGCTGTTTGCACTGTTAACACGCTTCAGATTCAGTCTCATGTTACATGACGTTCACTTTCTTTCTGAGTGAAACCAACAAAAAGAACACAAAGAAGAAGATAAATAGCACCTAAATAGTCGTTGACAACTGCTGCTAATGTTCACAGATGCTAGAGGCATTATGAATGCATCACTGTAGTACAAGACACAACTGCTTTAAACAGACTGACATGATCAGACTGACATGAGGTGCATTTAAGTGTAGACATGCTCACTGCTCAAAACTAGCATTTCCAAGACTTCTGAGATAGAAAGAATAAATATATAGAGTAACAATTGAACAGTACAATACAAGGCTGTGGATATCTTGGAAAAATAACCCATGCAAGACACATTTATAAAGATGCTGTACACAAACATGTGTGACCACTTAAATGCCATGAGTGACAGTTCAAGTCATGGAAAAGGGCACTGAAAAAAAGGGGGGTGGGGCTTGATATTTTGTCTGAGAGATTAGTCCACTAATGGTTTACATTCAAAGGAAATGTCTTAAAAATAACCATAAGTTACATTTTTCAAATTTTAAGGGGGAAAACGTAATAACCAAAAGTTTATAAAACTTGGATTGCACTTTTGAAGAGAAACAAAAAACACAGGCTGTTATTTTCTGTCACAAGAAGCCGACTGGATGGTAAAAGGTCGGATCGGATGGCCACACGATCTACGCGAGAAATGTCATCAGAGAAAAGATTAAACTGTACCAGTGTTGGTTCAATATTCAAAACCATCTGAATTCAACAGTTCGTCCCAGTTGTTTTCCTGCTGTGGAGGCAAAGCCAGGAACAAGGCGATGGCACAGGTTGTTTGGCAGGACGTCTCCTCTGCTAAAGCACTCCTCTCTCTCTCTCCGTAGTCTCCGAGGGTTTTTCTTTTTACCCCTCAAAGCTAAAGAAATAAAGTGCAAGGTGTGTTTTTTCCCTTCAAAAAAGGTCCCTTTTACTATTCGGTTCACACCTTTCCTTTGTGATCTTTTTCTTTCAGGTATAACATGCCATTCACTCAAACACACACACACAGTCTCACACACTCACGCTTGCAGAGCTGCTGTCTTTCGGGATCACGTGGCGTGAGTCTTTGGCCCGGGCCGACAGACTCAAGTCAGAGGAAGCGTCAGGCAGTGGTGTTGCCGTTAAGAGATGATGTGGCACAGGGGGTGGCGGTTTGTCGCTAGGCTTGGGCCGGGCCGGGCCAGGCTAGGCCGGTTTGAAAAGGGGGCCTGGCTCCTCTTTGGTCCCATAAAGCACTTGATTTATGTCAGGGTGAATCTTTGCACTCCACTGGACAGGAAAGATGTTTGCATGAGGAGGAGGAAGGGGGTAGCACTATCAGAAGCACCGGCTGCTAAGCTACGACTAGAGAGATGTGCAGCACAGGCAGAGAGTTTCGGGGTTTTTTTTCGTTTTCTTTTTAAAAGCCATGCAGTTTAGAGATCGTCCATAGCAGCCGGCGACGGAAAGCATTCTCGAATGATGCTAGTGATGGAAACCGGGAGGCAAGACTTCACACACGCGGGTGCGCTCACAGAACAACACAGAAAAAGCACTGAGTCGAGGGGAGAGAAGAGCTGCTGTTGGCTTTGAAGTCCAACGTAAAAAGTGACAGACTGCTGCATGCTCTCCAAAGCACCGGCAAACTGCTGAAGACTTGAGGTGTCTGGGTGGTTGGGCTGGCTGGCTGGGCGGGAGGATTATTCACAGTCATAAAAGAGCATTTGGGAGACAGAAGCTGATAACACTGTGGCAAAAAGCAGGGCTTAATGCAAACTTTTAGAGACAAAGAAAAAACTAAACCAAGGCTGTGCCAAGATAAATAGTATTCAACATAACCCACCTCCCCTCGTCTCCTCAAAGAGGTGAGACAAACTCAGCCTTAAGGCAATGCATAGCCCTTGGAAACAGTGGCACATGCATGGAGAGTGCAGAGATGTCTGCATATGTATTATATTCATGTATATGTGTGTGTGTGTGTGTGTGAGTATAAGAAGAAATAAAAACAAGTCTGTAATTAAGGGTCAAAACAGCAAAAAAAACTGATAAAACTTCATCAGTTTCTTAAACTGTTGCTCTGATAGAGATTTCTGCTACTTTAAGAACAAATTTGTGACTGATGAACAATTTTGAAAGGAACGTATTTAAAAATATTCTGTACAAACCCCCTGTACAGCTTCCATCAGGATATACAGATGCAGGCCTTCAAAAATAAAACCCTGTGAAGCTAAAGGAAGCAAAGGAAAACAGAGACACACAGAGAGAGCGCAAGCGGCAGGAAAAAAAAGACACAGTGAGCTCCCGCGACGGTTAAAAGATGAACGGCGAAGGTGAACGGCGGGCACGGTTCGTACGCCACCTTGAGCTTCGATCATTGCAATCGTATAAACTGCCGCTTCAGATGTTGGTGAGCGTGGTGGACGTGATGAGGCGCACAGTGAGCGTGCCCGGGAGGTCGTTGTCCTGGCGGCTGCCTTTGTCGCGCAGGTGAAGCGTGTGCTGCTCCTGGCGCTCGTTGGGGTCGCTGAACAAGATCACCTGACCCAGGAAGGTGTCCACGATCATGTTCTTGTTGTAGATCTGTTGGCCGCTCAAGGGAGGAAGTCAGAAAGGAAAGAAGGAAACAAAAAATACAAAAGGCAGTAAGCACAAAAAAGGAGGAATCGGCAAAGGAAGTACACCAGAGAGAAAGTGACAGAAGAAAGAAGACACTAGGAAGGAGAGAAGTAAAACACTGAGGAAACAAGGCAGCATGAAGAAATATTGAACCTTTTTTTCCGTCATTCACTCACACAGGTTGTTTGAAACTTATATGTCAGAGTATCTGCTTAAAAAAAGTTTTTGTGGTGGTATAAAGGTACCCACACTATATATAGTACTTACAAAGTAATTAAACCACATGTCACAAACAGCGGTCCCCAACCTTTTTTGCGCCATGGACCAGTTTAATGTCAGACAATATGTTCACGGATTGGCCTTTAAGGTGTTGCGGGTAAATGCAACAAAATAAAATGATACGACCAAGACAAAAACTGTGGTAAATATATGTTTGTAAATATAATAATAAACGTGAATTCACTGTGTAATTGTGTAACTTTATTAGCAGCATCCTGCTGAAATGCGCCAAAAACATTGAAAGTAACATCCTCCTCTATGCCCCTTAATGCTCTCTGGTCGCTATGGTAACATGTAAATATTTCGTTCAAAATAAGACGCACAACTACAACACGGGAAAAGACCCAGGGAAACAGAGTTAACGATAAAACCCCTGAAAAACATAAATTTCACGACCGAGCCTCAACTCTCGTGGCCCGATACCGGTCCGTGCCCCGGGGGTTGGGGACCGCTGATTTAAAACAATAAAACAAATATTTTTGAAATCTATTAAAAGCTTGTTTAATAGTAAAAAAAAATGTTATTTATTAAATAACAAAATGAAATGAATAAACAGTCCTTATTCACACGTTAACCAATAAACATAAAGGTAATTGTCTCTCAGTGATTGTTTGACATTTTATAATAGTAAAAAAAAAAAAAAGTAAAAAAAGGGATACTGTATTCATACATATACACACATTACTATGCAATTACATCGTATGAGAGTTTATTCTCAAGTGTCAGAGTTCAACAAAAGGTACAGCCACTTCAACGACAGTTTCGCTAACCTGGACTAACAGTAGCTAACAGAGGCTAACAGCAGCTAACATCAACAGAAATGGCAGTGCTACCAACAGTTCACCAAATCCTCAACAGGTTCTCTAACTCTGCTTTCAAAAAGTTTTACAGCCTCTTCACAACTGAGGAAAACAATGGAGTGACAGCCTTCAACAACAACAACAACAACAACAACAGCCTAACAGTCAGATCCATTTCAAACAGTAGTACAAACAGGTCAGCCAGCCACAGCCATAATCTCTCGTCTGTCTGAAACATGTTTGTCCTATAGCAGCCACAGTAGCTAAGATTATGCACTTAAATTAGAAGGGCTAAGAAAACACCTCAGTTGACTGCAATCTGAAAATGTGGGACGTGTAACTGGGATTAGAATGACTGAATTTCCAAAGTAAAAGCAAGGGGACTGGCCACGGATGAATAGTGAAAATGATCAAATGAATCATTAAGTACACTTGGGTTTTTAATGGAGCTCTACTGGACAAATTAATAAGCTCGGTGAAGGTCTCCTTACTCAGTTTTGAATTGATCTGTCCATCTTTTAGATTGTTTGGTGAAAAACAACATGAAGGATACCTCATGTGATCGTCTAACTCTCTTATTTATTTAAATGAATGATGTCTCTCTCTCTGATGCTAACAGTGCGTAAATACAGATGATTTACCAGCTCTAATGCCCACTCCTCACTTTGTTACAAATAAAACAATTTCACAGCTCTAAACGAGCAAATCCAACATCGTATTACTATTAATAACCTCCCTCACAAATACACTGGTTTACACGTGTCGCCTGATATGGAGCCTGTAACTGATTAGTTATGGATGCTCTGCAAACATTCTTAGCAGCCTCATTCTCACGTCCCATAGGCTCAAAGAGAGAGTTGATAAAGGGAAAAAGGACTGAATATGAGACAAGCGATGAAACGCTGTGAAACTCTGCATGAAGACAAGTGCCGCGGGACTATCAACCCAAATTATTCCTGCAGCTAGCTCCCACTTTTCTGCAGCCGTCACTGTCGACTGTGTATTTAGGTTCTTGCTTTCACTTTGCGAATACTTAAGATGTTTTGACATATCTACAAATATAAGAAATATATTATTCACGCCCTAGATTGTCTACATCATGTACTGAATTTTTTTTCAACTTATAAGACTCAAATTTCCCACGTGTTCGGTTACTAAATGCTAAAACACACACACATACAGCGCTGTCACACAGGATGTCAACGTGAGACCAGAGAGCGATGAATGTGGCGAAACGTAAGGTTTTGCAACGTTTTATTTCAACATATGTAACAGCCGTAACTCCTGAACCACTCGCTCGATAAAAGAATTCCAACAGTTCCCGAAAGCAGCGGGGAACTGTTGCTTTTCAGTGATATCAGGATTATTACAATAATCCCAGGAACAGTGTCGCAGCAGCCTCGCTGAATGTGGCGCCCTACCTGGGATTACCATCACGACCCTCATATCACTGATAAAGCACAGAGTTGATGCTTTCAGGAACCGTTGGAATTTTTCAATTGCACCAATGGTTCAAGAATTACGGTAGTTTGACCTAAATGTTTTACCTAATGGGTCAATAACAGTTTGATGCCCCTGAGGAAAACTTAAGATTTGTAATTATGAACATTTATTTCTCAGTAATTGTGATCAATGCTTAGTATTGGATTTTTACTGGCTGGATAACCCTGTATTTTGAATTCTACGGCTACTTTTTGTTTGTGTACAGTGTATATTATGTCTGCATAATAACATGTTTGTTCTGTAGGTTTATTTTTATTTTCTTTATATATAAATTATTTTACATGTAGTGGCATTTTCTGGAACATTGTTTATTTTAATCTTGATATTTCTTTTCCTTTTATGAAACACCTGCTGGTGTTTAAGTTTTTGCACACTTTCCTTTGATATAGGTGAGTTTATGCTTTAATCTGATGATTTTTAAGAGCCTATGTGGGTTATATAACAACTCAAATGGCTAGTATTTAATTTAGAGTGACCATGTGTTTGTCAGAGCCTGAGGGAAAGAGGTTACAAAATGGTCTGATCGCAGAATAAACACACAGTATATAGCAAGACTTCCTAGATTTTGTTTTCTCATCCTGTCACCTTGATTTGATTTTAGTGAAACTATGCAATGAAATCCAAAGTAAGCAAACAGTAACCTTTTAGTAACCTTTACAGCTACTGTTCAGAAGATGTGCACTTTACATTCTGGTGCCATGCATAAATGCGAAAGCTGTCAAAGGCCACTGGCCAAAAGCTGTAGTTTCTGAGGGATAAAGAACAAATCAAATTTGAAGTTGCATTTTTTTTCTTCAACCTTTCGCACTACGGACTGCAGAGTGACAGCTCACCTCGATGTGGATGCCCTCCTTGGGCTTCTTGCGGTAGAACAGGCCTTTGATGTCAAAGTTTGGGCACCGTGTGTCCTTATGAACTGGTGAACGAACCCTCTCTCCTTCACAGGTGATGATGACGTAGGGATCTACAGCTGTCAGAAAAAAATGAACAAATATCTAAAAGTTTAAAATAGCTCTGCCGGGATAAAACCAGCAAGATGTCAAAAAGAAATGTATTAATATAGTACACTGATTAATAAAAAACAGCCACAGAGGACATTTTTCTGTTATTAACAATGTGCATTTTGCTGATAATACCTCTGGACTTCTACATTTGAAAAAATACTATTTAATTAAAAAACAGCAACAAAAAACTAGTATTTCTGCCTCCACTTATGCTTTATAAGTATGTACAAAGCAGTAAAGGTGGGCGGCTTGATGATAGTATTGATACCAATGTTGGTATTGGTATCGGACTGACACTGGCATTATGAATTGATACTTTGTTTCTATCCTCTGTTCCGCATGTAGCCCACTGAACTGAATAATTTTGTGGGAAGATAAAAACATGCATTATGAAAAACATCTGAGCCCTTTTGTACTGACTGTCAAATCTATTTTTATTAAGAGAGGTGGAACTAAAGTGCTTTAGAGACAGACACATGGTGGTCATTAAATGTGTTCAGGATTTGGAAACTCATTGATTTATCTCTTAAGTCATGACACACTGCTATCCCCTACATAAGCTAACTTTATAAATTTAAAGTAAAACCAAAACTGGCCCTTGTATTTACTTGGTATCGGAACAGTTAATGACCCCCTGTCGAGTGGCTCCTTACTGTAGTGGTTTACACATTTGCCTAACAATTAAAAGATTTGAACAGTTTTATCTCAGGAAGGGTAAAAAAAAAAGTAAAATCTGTCAAATCAAACATGAGGAGCTGCTCGCTCTGGTGGTTCTTTGTGGAGTAAATGTAAATAAAGCGACTTTTTGGGGGATGGTGTACACTGACTGCTCAGCGCTGATTTACTTATTTAACAGAAGCATACTATAAGACGCTACAATCACATGAACTTTTGTGTTAAAGTTACAGCAGTTAGTTCACACGCACGCACGGACAAACACACACATGCACACACACACAGTAAGAGATTTAAGCCATAACTGCGGCACACTACAGGCAGTAGACACTACACTAGCTAAATTATCTCAGCGGGTGGTGCTGAGGTACCTCGTGCTTTGCTCTGGGCTCTTGCTCTCTTTTTGGGATTGAGGCAGTGCAGCTCTGTGGGTTTTCACAGCACTTCATCATTGACATGCAAATACAAAACACAGCACTCAATGTCAGGCAAGGTTACGTCTGCTACGCACCGACTGGAGTCCTCATACCGACCTCCATTGGAGTCCTGTCCCTGCAGACCCTCAGCGTTCAGTACATGGACCTGAGTGACCAGCTGAGGGTAGCCACACATCCCCGTCCAACATGTCTGAGGAGGCTCGTCCAGGGTCAGCTCTCTGAGTAAGATGAAGACAGCACAGGTACATGGATGTATGAACACAGATATGCCTCATGTTGGAGTGTGACAGGCCTCTGTAACGCTGCCAGTGTCAGCAGAAATACAGGAAAATCCAAACTTCTGTACTTCTCCTGGATGTCCTAATGAAAGCAGTCCCAAAAGCAACAGGAAATAACAGGTGAAAAATTATCTACTATCTGTTACTGTGCTGATGTATCAACACAGCGTGAAGCAGTTCTTCTCTTAAGCTAACATGAATGATTTCCTTGGCAGAATTTCTGTGGTTGTGTTATTACAGGAATCAATCTGGTTTAATGAGTGTAAATGCAAGACTGTAACTGTCCTCATACACTGTATAAATCATTTTTA